AGTTAGGATAATTATCATTGATGATGTGTGAGTGCATTACACCTTAATATTACCTGCCTGTTGTCTGGACCAATGTTTTCCCCAGTAGTTTATCTAATTAGGAAAGTTCCTCTGTCCGGATATTGGGAATGGAATGAGAGCGGTGTCCTTCAGCTAAGAACAAATGGCTGGAGCCATGGATGTCTCCTCCATCTGCAAAGGTCTATGATGTAATGATATGATGATTGACATACTGGAGATGTATAAAATGCTTCTCTAACTGTTTATCGGGGCTGCCTCAGGAGAAGTTAGCTCGGTTAATAAGCAGCTGCCTTCTGTAACTCAAAGCAACTTCTCTAATCTGAGTAAAATTACAATTTCTATCAAAATCTGTTGTCATGTCACATGGTTATTTAATAGATATATGTTATGAAGTGTTATTTTAAGCGTTTGTGCCGGCGGATCTCATTTCAGGGAAACGAAACCGGAAAGAGAAAGCTCCATGGTGCAGACACAGAGCTTTCCTTTAACAAGAGTAATTTTTAGGTCAAATATATTAAAAACTGAACACACAAAGTCGAAAAGATGTTTCTTAGCTCAACAATAATGCATACTACTCTTAATGAGCTAGTTCGGCAAAAATGTAAGAACATATATTTTTTACCATTATCTTTACTTTTATACTGTAAGTATACTGTAAATGTAAATCCCTTTGTTGTACCACAATGGGGAAATTCTTTCTCTATATTTTGACCAATCCCCTTGGGGAGCAGTGCGCTGCCATTGTGCGGCACCGGGGGAGTAATGGAGCCATGTTTATTTGAGCATACGGTACTTACTTATCACAGCCGGAGAGTGATGCCAGAATGGCGGACAGGGTTGGAGGTGGAGGGGGCTTAAATAGTCCTTGCTTTGAAGGTGTCGAGCTGGGTTTTGTATGTCATGACTAACAAAAAACACACAGGAATCACAATTTGTACCGTACAGAGCTACTAAAGAGTAACTCGCATACCGACCATAGCTTAGAAATAGGTAATGTGACTGAGTTCACTTGACGTCTCTGGTCCTCGCGCCTGCACGAACATTGGGGGGTTGATTCGTTCATGTGTCAGGGTATGCACACAGGGGGGAGGGAGAAGCAGACGACCCTGATTGACGTGTCAGGAACCAATAGTGGACCACAGACCGTGTTTTGTGATTGGTGGAGGATTTCACACTGTAGCAGGGACCTTTTTTTTTTCATTTCGTTTCCAGACCTTCTATTTTGCTGCTTTCTCCACGGCTGTGGGAAGATCTTCAAGCCACATGGTAAAAAAAAAAAATGCGTCAGAAAAGATCTCCTACTACACCCTTAAGGGTTTTGCTCAGGAACCCAGAGTGCAGGCTGTGGGGATCGAAACGGATACTTGCAATCTTCTCTGAGCACAAGCACACTGCTCCAACCACATTTCCCCATATACAGCCTATAGTCTTCATATAAAATTATATTTATTTTACTTGAACCATACAATATGTTGTATTGAACATTTTGCTAAGCCAATTAGGTAGGGTTTAATTTTTGGAATCAATTTTAGTTTGAAGTTCTCCAATTTTACATTCACTTTTTATATCGCCACTATGTCCTTTTCCCTCAACTCCTTCCTCCCTTTTAACTGCTGTTTCTCTGTTTTTTTTTTTTTTTTTTTCTTTTTTCTTTTTTCTCTAGGGAGCAGAATTCACCTCTCTGTGGCCATGTTTCTAGTCTGACATGTCATGCAAAGTGTAATGTCCTAGATTTCTCTGGGTGAAGGCCACAGACACACTTGAAGGAAAAGATAAGACGTGGCACATATGACTAATAACCCCGTCCCTGGGTTTTTAACAGCCTCTTCTTAAAGGGAGTTTGACACCAATTGATCATTAGTTTGATGGAGGCAGCATTGTATCTTGAGGTAAAAGCTTTAAACAACGTGATATGAACGTGTCACCGAATTCCTTTGGAATGGTTAACATTATTTATCTTCTGCTGGATGCAATAGATCTGGCTTGCTATCTGAATAGCAAGAGATGGTATGGTAGCTCAGATTGGACTTTGATTTTGTGAGAAGCATGTTTCCCTAGCAACTAATAACCCTGTTGACAGTGAGGGATTGCATGTGTGTTTGCTTTACAAGTTGGCCTATGAAGGCTTGGACTTTTGCGTTGGTGTTTTGTAAGTAGGCCTCTGGTTTTCACACAGGTAGTTGTATTGGACCTGACAAATGGAGAAGTGAAAGTGAATTTCCTTGAAAAGCATATTTTTCTCTCTGTCCCATCACACTAAGAAATGAAAGTGTGTTTTGTTGGTGTTTTTGTTGGTGTTTTGTAGTAAGGTAAAGGTTACATTTTTCCACATTCTTCACAAATAAAAGCCTCTTAAAGAGTTGTGTGCAAATGCATTCAGGCCTGTTGAGTCAATGCTCTGTAGAACCACCACATCTCTTGGGATATGTCTTTACCAGGTTTGCTGAGTCGTATGTCACAGATGGCTTCAAGCCTGATTTAGACTGGACAGTCAGCATCTGTGAACCTCAATTTTCTTCTGATACCACAAGTTTGTCATTGGGTTTAGGTCTGGATTTTTATTTGTCTTTATATTTCCACTGATTCTAATTAGCTTTCCTGTCCCTGATGAACTACTGCTTTATCCAGCCACCTTATATTTTCTAAGGCGAAGTACTTCTGTCTCTCTGTCTGTTCATGCACTTTTCTTCTCTGCTCTCTGCTTGCTCGTTTTCCTTTACACTTACATTTTTATCTCTTAACCAAACTGCGACAAAACTGGACTTGGTCTTTTTCATACTAGGAACTCACAATGGTTACCATTATTTTTACTACTTTCTAAAGGATTTTGCCATGCTTTTTAAAATCAAAACCCAAGGTAGGGCACATCAGCACCAGTTAGAAAGCACAGGATGCCTCTCATTACCACCGAGAATTTTCACAAAGATTTACAAAAAATTGCTGTTCTGGAAATGAGAATCCATTGACTAGTAGTGAATGTGGAGGTCAATACTGGGTAGAACAATAATACAACTCTGCCCGTGATCCCAAATGGAGACAGCCAAGGGATTTTGGAGGCTAATATGGGGCACACTGATGATTCAGTTATCCCACAAAGTGACACACAGCTCCACATCTCAGCCGGTGAACAGAACACTGATAACAAACGGCAGGCTTTAGGAGCAGTACCAAGACAGAAAAGGAGAATGACTCACTGGGAGGCAATTAGGTAAATTAGATTGGCCAGATTTACAGAAAAAGGCACCCTTTTCCCCCTCAGAATAAGATATTTGCAACAACAAAAACAAAACAAAACACAGAAGTCATTATTTGCACCAGTAATGTGGTGTCTGATATCTAAGAGAATATTACTGCCATCGCAGAAGAACCCCCAAGTCTTCAGAGTCCCATCATAGACTGTTGGGACATGGCGGACAAAAAATCTGAGCAATTTAAGAAGGATTTTATTTTTCTGATTAATGAACTTGGAGGTCTGAATATCAAGAGATGTCTCCCTGGACCGTTTTTCTGCAGAAATGAGACTATTGAGACTTATTATGATCAATAAATACTTGCACAAAGTTTGTGCTACGTTAACTCTGAGCTTTATCAATAGTTTCAAAATTATTGGGGGATTACAGACACCTTTTCAAGAAAGATGGTTTCTATTCAAACCGATCTGGAGCTAAACATCTCGTTTTTTATTCTGTGAAAAATCCACCTGCTGTTTCAATACTGCAAAATACATTACAGACTTGATGTCGGTGTATCTACAGCCCAGAAATCCCAGGTCTAATCTACCTTACTTTAGATGCAAAGGATTTTTTTGTTTGGCTGTTCTGATTGCTATAAAAACAGAATGTGTAGACATAAGAGAAAAGCAAGGATCATATCACGTTTCTCATGTGAAACACTAACAAGACACAGAATCTTTGCCTATTAAGATGACTTGGAGGCGCACCAACATGGTAGAGTAACTCCCGGCAGGAGTATTCCAGCTGTCGCAGCAGGTCACTCATTGTTTTAATCTCTGAAAGCAGTGTCACTTACAGATGTTCCTAAAAGATGACGTGATGTCCGTTTCTGCTTCTGCCATTGCTTCATCTTAATAAAGTCTCTCCCCAGTTTTAGGTTTGATGAATCACATTGTTCCAGGAAAGTAATAACACTTGGACATTGTCCTCCCATTATTTTGCACATTCTGATGATCAGCATGTAGTCTGCAATTTCATAAAAGCAAATATGCTGAATTTGTTGAGCAATGACTAAAGGACATTATATTTTCTTTTCATTTGGATGCTCTTTCAAAAAGAAAGTAAGATGGAGATAAAAAATAAGTTGGACAGCACATTTTCCAATAAAATCATCTAAGTGGGAGGAAGGTTTAGTCAGTTTAAGGGGAATAAAAAAAGCAGCTTAATTGGCTTGTTTCTTCCCTGACTGTTCTTGAAAGCTGGCAGCGACAGCAGCTCTGCAGTCTGACATTTTCTGCAATGGTTGCCACTCAGGGCTGCCCAATGTGCAAGAAGGCACAATTAAAATGGACAGACTGACATTGAATGTGACAATGCTGACTCATCTTACCATACATCTAATATAGTGTGATAGTATGGATAATAATAAAAGGAAAGTTTCATAGTTTTATCATAGTAGCTTAAGAATATATTCTGCATGTTTTTTTGTGAAAAGCATCTTTAGTTCATCGATGTATCCAATAGAAAATAAAGGAGCTGTTTCCATCCTGAGTAGTGATGTCAGACTGCTTACTGGAACAGTGAAACCTCTAATAATCAGGTGATATCAGACTGATTTATGACCTTCTATATGACTTCATTTTCTGGAAGCATCTAATCTCTGTAGAGCCTGAACACTGGCCAATAATTAGCAGTCTCCATTTCTGAACTGACCCCTTAATTCAGAACAGAGTTAAGGGGACTTATACATTAGAGAAATGCCTGTAGGCCCATATTAATCTCTGTGTGTGGCTCTTTTCCTTACAGAGAGGCCAGTGAATGCAGATCATCAGGAGCGGACCATGTTGAAGGGTGTGTTCAACGTCAGAAAGGGCAAGACACAGCTACACAAGTGGGCAGAGCGACAGGTTATCCTCTGCGGCACGTGTTTAATAGTGGCCTCAGTGAAAGATAGTCTGGCGGGGAAGATGCACATTCTACCCCTGGTGGGTGGAAAGGTAATGACCTTTCATATCCTGAATTTGTCAAAATGTCATTCTCCACAGTATAACGGTTATGATCAATGCTAACATGTTTAAATACTTAAAAAAGAATAACCTCCTTGTTAGCTTGTATTGCTATTGAAAGTTACTTTTGCCCCTGAGCACTATAATTATGAATATTTTCTGGTTTTATAAACCCTAAATGCAAACTAGTTCAAATATTTTGATGTCAGTTCAATCTTCTTATTTTGTTTTGTGAGCCAAGTGGAGGACAGGGTGACAAAATTACTATTTCAATTGTAAATCATCAGGAGGACATAACCCATCCATCCATTAGTTTTTCTTTTCCCAAATCGGATTGTAGAAAAAAAAAAAAGGAAAAATAGACATATTCCATCCTTGCAACATTCTCCAACTCTGTAATTTCTCTGCCAGAAAGGTATAGGGCGCCTTTTCCATCGAAAGTCTTTGGATTTAAAGCATCAGGATTTTAATTTCATCAGGGTGTTTTTCCAATTGCTCTTAAAAGTTGCTCAGTGGAGGAAGTTGCTGAGAGGATGGTGCTTTCCAAGCTTACATCCATCATGGACAACACTTTCCACCCTCTCCACCAGACAGTAGAGGAGCTGAGCGGCTTCTTTAGTGAAAGACTTACACCCTGTTTGTAAAAAGGAGAGCTACCACAGGTCATTCATCCCTGCTGCAACCAGACTATACAATGCAACACTGCAACAGCAATAACTTGTACAATGTATAATGTGCAATTACTATTTGATACCCTGTGCAATAACCTGTTTCTGTACATTTGACATCCAGTGCAATAATTATATATATATAAATTTAAATATAAAAATCCATATATATAAATACACATGTAAACACTGTGTGCAATAACCCTGTATAAGAAAAAAAGCTGCCATATGTGGATGCAGTGTATATACTGTGTATACCCCATGCACCTTTTTCTTCCTTTGGCACCTTATCTTTTTGACTATTTGAGCTGATGTAGCGAGTACATTTCTCCACTGTGAAATCAATCAATTCCTCTGTGAAATTGCACTACACTTCCAGTCCAGCAGGGGGCAGTAATAAGAACACCCAACTGCTTTTCCCTTTACTTTCTCTGCCAAATGTCTATAGGTTAATACGAAACCCCTAAAACCCCAAGGGGTATAAATAAATTTCTGCCTGACAAAAACACACAAAAGTAAATCACTTATAGCCCCACAGCTATTAGATTTAAGAAGAAACTTTTGGTACGTCTGTAAAGGTAAGATGTCATAGAATGGTTTTCTGGTGTCAGCACCATTGTAGCTTTGACCCTGCCTGAAATATTAGGGACAAAATACAAAATATTTTGCATTTTTTGAACCTCGCCAAAATTTTCTTTGAAATAAACATTGCAAAACACTACCAAAATATTATTTATAGCACAAAAAAGTAGTACAGACTTTTAAATCTAAATGTTGTGTAAAAATATACCAAATTAGGACTCAATCAGATGAATCATATTTATTTTAGAATGGTATTAGTAAGAAATTTCTTAGGCGGAGGGGCCATTTTGGCACATTTATCCAAAAATGTCACCAAACTGTGCCAAATGTGTTTTTTACATCAATACTGGGGGTTTGTTAAAATTACGAGGTCACGTAGCAGCTGGACCCACCGGTGGGTCCGTAGGGTTCTAGGGGTTAAGCATTAGTTTAGTTTTTTTTTATCAACCTGCATCTGGCCAGGCTTGTAACTTTATAGCTGCATAATTAGTTTACTATAACTACTGAAACTGATTAACACAGGTATGTTTGTTTTATGATGATAATGATCAGGGAAAATTCATATTTATATCGAAATTCATCATATATATATATATATATCTTATATATATATATATATATATATCTTATATATCTTATATATATATATATATAAGATATATAAGATATATATATATATATATAAGATATATAAGATATATATTTATATAAGATGAACATAAGATGTACTTTTCTCGTTTGTATAAGTAAATGGGAAAGTGCTCCATCTGATCATTGCTCTATCATTTCCTTTAAACTGCTGAAATAATAACACCTACTTAAAAGATCAAAACTTTCTGTCAAAACACTCCACAGGTGTTGTTTCAGTCCTGTGCAGCAATGAACAGTGTGCTGCGAGTCATCCGTGACAGGCATGTTGAGAGCTTTGAGCATCTTGATTGGATCTCCTCTGCTTCTGGTACTCCATAAAAGGAAGCTTTTAAACCTCCTCAGGTCTTCTCCTGCCTGAGTTCACAATTATTTCTCCTCTGTTGAGGAAAGAGATGACGAGTGTGTTTAGAAGATCCTGAAAGCTCTCCTTATACCACCTGAGAGTATCCTCCAACGTCTGCAGCTTTCTTCAAAAATGCATCACACTGGAGTCTTTTTATTAACAAAGACCATCTATTAGGAACGTTGGACCTTTGCCTTGGTGTAAATTATGTTTCTGTTCATTGGCTTTTGTGACCATTAGACTTCCCATCTGGCTGCACAAACAATGCTTCATTGATCTAATTGAATTTTACTCATGATGGATGTGGATAAACAAAATGGTCGAACTTATGACATGCCAAGAGATTTGCCGATTTACTCATACATTTTCCCTCAGCAGATTGTGTGCAACCAAAGACCGACGGGGTCATTAAGCTTCCATTTGATGCTTTTAGTCGGAATTAATTTAATTTAAACCCTCAAAACCTGTTAAAACTGAACAAAAAATTTTACCATGTCAGGAATGTTGGCTGTTATAACTTTAAATTGGCCAGATTAGCAACTTGATGGGGCCTTTTTAAACTTTAATCGATGTGGAAGCGCTTTGTTCACACAAGTGTTTAAACTATTGTGGAGACAAATTAACAAAGAGAACAGAATTTTAGATGGAAAGGGATAGAATTTAAATACTTTATCGTCCAAGAGAGGCAATTCATTTGCATTGAATAGATCTGTATAAAAATATTACCAGTTTTTCTGTCGCATATTTGTGTAGTATTGAGTGGAGTACCGGCACTTATTTTTCGCCCACTTAAAGCACCGGTCAGAACTCACTCTTTTATTAGTCTTACAGACTAGTCGTTCTAAGAGTCTGACTAGCTGACATCTTTTACCATGTAAAGCTTATCATAATATTGCTTGCTTAATAGAAAAGTATGATCTGAATGTGTGATTTAAAGCTAATGTCTTTCTCTTTTTATCGTGTCGAGGTTGAGGAGGTGAAGCGCAGGCAACACTGTCTGATGTTCAGCTCCGCCGGATCTCGAGAGCAAACTTACTTTGTTAATTTCGACACACTGGCCGACTACCAGCGATGGCACCGACAGGCATCAAAAGTAAGCAAAGAACACAGAGTGATTTTGCAAAAAACAATTTTCCCAAAACTGTTTTCTTTCCAGAATCAAATGTTGGTTCCCAGCTGGTCCTGCTGGGTTTCTACATACTTTAAAGATTTGATATTGGAACTGCCACTGCGTTCTGGCTAATGGGTCTTCCAGAGATCTAACTGCATTTCAAATTAGGTTTTTTATTTTTTTGTCATACCCACATGTCTACTTAGATTGTGCTTACATTAATATATGGACACATCTGTTTTTTGCTTTTCCTAGCAGGAGAGCATTTTACTTTGTGAGTCACTATGCATCAGCAAATGCTATTTTAGAATCCATACAGTTCTGTATATGTGTTTTTTTCTTCTTTTTTTTTTTAGAGAAAAATGCCAACTGCTTGCAGCTGTTTCCCTTAAAATTCTGTGGTACTGAGTTTTCTTTGCATGTAATATAATAATTACTGGGTGATGTAGTTACAGTTCCTTTCTGGAGCTGAATGATACAAGAATCTAAGCTGAGCCAGAGCCAGGAAGCAGTTTGCAAAGAAATGAGAGAAGGAATAGAAAGCAGGAAAAAAAAACGCAATTAGCTACTGATTCATGGTAGAAGCAGACTTGCTCTCTACCTCCTGTGGTATGAAATATTGTGTTAGAAAAGCCTCTTAGTGCACAGGACTTAAGCAGGCATGTAGAGTAAAGGCTTTTGGAGCAAACAAATCATGACTAAGGAAGCTTTCTGGGTACGTTTTTATGCAACACTGAATAAATTGTCTAAATCATAAAGCCAGTATGTGCACATTAGTGAGAGTCAATATGTGCATTTTTGTCTCCACAATGCTCACCCAGGAGGATTCTTTAGAATATGAGTTTGAGTAAAAAGCAGAAAACAGGTCCCTTAAAAACATCTTTGTGAGATTTACAGAAACAGATGTAAAGTCTTAACTCCCAGATGGCTTTGCATGTTTTACTCTTTTTCACAAACTACTCAAAGAAATTAATTATTTGCATGTTTTTATATAAACTTATTCTAATAATTTTTAAAGATGATTTTTTTTGGAGTTTTTAGTAAAGTTACTATTGATTAAATTGTCTTGTATTTTGTCTTCTTTAGAAAAAGCGATATAAGTACCCTGTTCTTTTACTGGTTTCTAAAACGGCAGTGTTATGTTTTTTTAGTACTAGATAACCCAAACACAGGCAGGAGTAAGGTAGAATCACAACATGTCAGTATTTAATGAAAAAATAAGAACACAGCCGAAGCAAAACTGCAGATAACATGGAGATAATCATAAGGGAGCACCACCACAGGGATATGTGAAGGATAATGATGACTTTGAGAAAACCAGCAGTATAAATAAAGGGGAGGTGACGACTGTGACAAGGAACAGGGGAGTTTGATTAATATAATGTGGAACAGCTGTGGGGGGGCTGAACTATAGTGCTAAGTTTTATTAAGTCATCAAAATGAATAAAACAGAAGGAAATACTCAAGCTTACTGAGAGGGGGGGGGGGGTGCTAAAACAAGGGAAGTAAACAAAGTAAGTAGTACAATCACTAAACAGAGCATCAGAATCTACAAAATAAATAAATCCACTATGGCACAAAAACAGAGGACATTAAGATACAGTCAACTTTTCACACGAGGCGTAATCACACGAGTCACTTACCTTTCACCTGCTTTATATTAGTTTGTTATTTATCACGCCGGGGTGTAAAAAGACATTCACAGGGTTGCATTAGCTGTGATACAGCTATTTCAGTGACCAAGACTTATCATGTTGTCCTTGCTCCAGATTAAGGCCCCCCGTCTTCTTAGCCTTGGAAAAAGATAACATGTGAGAGCTTGAGTTTCAATTACGTAGACTGAGTATATTTGGCTTCTGTCCTGTTCAAGCAAAATTCATACCAATCACATGGAGTACATTTCATATGATAATTATTCTGCTTAGGAACTCCCTACTGTTTGTTTTTCCCTTACTCAGTGCATTTAGCTCTTTGGCCTCTTCAGGCTATGACCAATGCTTATTTAAAATGAGAAGAAATCTTTCACATAAGGGTGTTAAGAAGAATGTTTAGGATATTTGGTTTTAAGTATCTTGGTCTGAAAGTTTTCGTAAAATTTAGTATTGCTATCTTTTACTTGCTCTGTCCTTTATGTCATCAGGTTAGATATTTTTTGTGCTTATTTTTTATGTAAATAATTCCCTGTAACTTTTCATCCTAGTTGTAAATTTTGATATTTTGATGTAAATCCTAAGATTAGAAATGAAAATTATGTATACTGTAAACTTTTTCCAAACTTTGATGATTTTTGTGGCTTTGTTATTTAATTGTGTTATTTACCTAATTTTGCATTTTTGGTGTGCTACTTAGTGTACTTTGGATGACTGCTTATGGATATAGTTTCTGCAGAAAGACCTTGTGTAACGCTTGATTTTATGAAATATTTCAGAATAATTAACATTTTAGCAAATAACCAAATATCAACTCTGCTGTAATTTAATGAGTACTTCAGTTGTTACATAGAAAAACTCTCTGCAATACTCAAGAGGATTTTCTCCAAACAGAAAATCCCGGCGCATTTAAAACCAAACAAGGCCCTTAGACAAAGGCTGGTGCATCCCAAAGACAAAACCCCCAGACGCATGGCTCAACACAGACAGGCTACCTCCTCCTGACAAGAACCTGCTGTCCACCTGCACCTTAATTAAGGACAAAGGACATTCGTTTGAGGATCAGAATGTTCACATTTTACACAAAGAAGACAGGTGGTTTGAAATGGGTGTGTAGGAAGCCATTTATGTTAAGAGAGAAAAGCCAACCTTAAACAGAGGGGTTGGTCTCAGGTTCCAGCTCTATAAAAACCTACAACGCAGCGATAGAGTTGATTACTTCCCGCTATCATCTCAATCCTCATCACCATGCAGGCGACCAGAACATCTCGCCTAATTAGCCAGGCCAACAACAACCCTAACGACAAAAAATGGTTTTGCAGGCCAACAACAACCTCAACAACTTGCCATTACAAAGGGGTGGACCTGCTGTTTCTGTTCAATGTGCATGTTTTCTTAGCCACAACAAGGCTATTGTTTGGTTACTCTATAAGCCAGGAACCCAATGCTACTTCAGACACCTTGAATTGAGGAAGCTTTGCGGATGGGAAGCGAAAAGTCTTCAAACTAGGAAAACAAAGTCCAGTGGTTTATTTTTTTAATTTTATTGGAATGACTATGACCTGGATGACAGAGAATCTTCACCAGCATACATAAAAAAAAAAAAAAATCTTGAAATATGAAACAAAACAGGGGTGAAACAATTAATCGTTATTAGTCGATTATTTAATTGATCATCAACTAATTTAGTAAAAATGGTAAATGGCCTGTATTTATATAGTGCTTTTTTTGACCAGTTGCCCCGGGGCTCACTGACAGAAAGAAGCGAGGCTGCCATACACTGGCGCCATCGGGCCCTCTGACCACCATACGATTAATTTAGTGATCTATTAATAGTTAACTGGAGTCCGTAATAGCAGCAGAACGACAGTTAATGTTATCGGAAAATGACGAAATACAGCATGGTTTATTCTGGGCACTAATTGTCAGCTCAAAGAGGTGACAATTACAGGCCAGAGATTAGTTTAACAATTTCACTATATCAATCTCTCTTATTGTGTATGTATTTGTGTGCACAGGTGGTCTCTCAGACAGTGAACCTGGTGGATCTGTCCTGCTATAGCCTGGAAACGGTGCCTGAATATCTGTTTTACTGTCAGGATCTCACTCACCTCAACCTGCGGCACAACTTTATGAGGTTGCAGGGACCTGGAAGCCTACTCAACCTTCCCAGGTAACCAATCATCGACCATCACAGCTTTTATAGTCAACCAGAGTGGATCCATCATGTGCAACATGGCACGTTTCTGAAGCGTCCTAGACGCGCCAGCTCCTGATATAGGTGGCTATTTAGTTTTTGTTGCTTGCTGCTCCAACTCTACATCAATTAGAGTAGAGCGGTAGTTGATGAGAAACGAAGTGGGTCCTGTCAAGTTTACAAGTTAAAGACAATATGTGTAATTTGTTATTTTTTTGTAATCCTGTTCATACAGTAACATAAGAATCATTAGCATTAAATAAAAAAACAACAACAACATAGAAATAGATTGATCCAGATAAAAAATATATGATTGTATAAGAGCAGGCAAAAGAAACACTTATTCTCTTTAAAGCCTACAAGTACACTACTGTAGCGTGATGATACAAGGAATAGGATGTATGTGCCGCTTCCACATCCAGTGGAAACCAGGAAGTAATATCCATAAATTTTATATTAGATGTTTAGACATTCCAGGTGGAGAAACCATTATAATTATTGTTTTACCAAAGTACTATATATTTAAGCACAGTTCATCTTAAACCTTTTTGGAAGTACCAACATAGTTTAGATTTAGTTTTAACAGATACCACCTTAGAAAAAAGCTTGTAGCTTGTTTTGCATATTTGCATATCTGCCAACTAATTTCCTTTTACTCCTATATGTGATGGTATCCATGTAAAAATAACTATTAAACCCATTGCTTGAATTCTATAAATTAAAAGTTAAATCTGTAATACAAGGTCTGGTCTATTGATAGAATGATTATTTTGTTATTGAATATAATGAAATGCAATCAGAACATATTATATGTCTTAAAGGACGAACTTCCTCAGTCCATCCTAAAGCCAAAATGATTCCCATCATCTCTCCTGCATAAACTGATACTCCATCAGTAATTCTTTTACATTTTTTAATACTGAATTCTGGATCAATGAATGACACCCCACTATTGCTATTTGAATTTTTTAAGCATCTATATAAACTTGGACATATCCATAGTACTTATTTTCTAAATAAATTTGTACTGAAATTGGATCTAACAGGTTTTCTTTTTTCCCTTTCTCCAAGAAAGTAAAATAAACAACACTATTAGGAAATATAGACGGACGATCTGGTGAAAGAGGAACAGTTTGACTGATATTTCTCTAAGCTAAATCAAAGTCTTTTATAAAGTTTTCTATCTTCCAACCTAAATAATTAAAATTATTTTTTTTCCTTCTTCCCAACTAGGTTTTAAAATTCCTTAACATAGATGATTTCCATTATGGCCCTTTAAATGACACCAATAAGATGTCTTTAACTGTAATCTTCTGAACTGAAGTGGAAGCTCTCCCATTTCTACTAGTAAAGCTGATGTTGCAGTTGTTCTGACGGCTTCTGTACATAACCTCAAGGCTTGATCATGATTATTATAAAAATTTTTGAGTAGTGTATCTGATGCTGATCCAAAAGTGATAATACCATAATCAAATACAGACCTTATTAAACCAGTATATATTGCTTTCATTGCTTTCCTTTCTGCACCTGACTTAATCCCACCAAATACCTCATTACATTTAAAACTCTCTTACACTTATCCACTACGTTTTGAATATGAATTTTCCAAGATAATTTTCATCCAACCATTATCCTAATAACTGAAATTCCTTTACTCTTTCTAATTCATGATTATATATTTGCAATTTTAACATTTCAGATACTTTCTTCTTTGTAAAAAATAAAATCTTTCTTTTGTTTATAGAAATTTTGAACCCCCATTTAAAAGACTAATATTTTATATTGTTAATTGTCTCTTGTATATTTTTAACAATGAAATTTACATTTTTCAAATAAAGAAAAACCAATTCCACTCTCCAAATAGTCAAACATATCATTAATCATAATAGAAAAAAAAAAAAGAAATCACCATTTTCGACAAAAAACCTTTCTGATAAATGATGTCCTATGCTTACTTGTATAGATCTGTCTCTTAAAAAAATCTTTTATCCAATAAGACAGTGATCCACTAATTCACATTTTTTTCAACTTAATTAAAAAAAACTTCTTTCCACATCATATCATAAGCTTTCTCTATATCAGAGAAAACAGCCACCACACTCTCATTATTAACTCGCCCTTTTCTAATTCCATGTTCTAAACAAAGAATAGGATCCATAGTGCTTCTACCTTTTCTAAATCCGCTTTGAAATTTTGATAAATATCCCCTCTTCTCAACAAAATAGCTCAATCTTTCATTAATCATTCTCTCCATTATTTTACATATATGTGAAATATGTGTAACTCCAAAGATAAATCCTTCACAGGTAAAAAATTTTCAGCACCTCTCACTATAGTCTTGATTTTTTCAGTTTTCTGCTTCACTTGGTCAGTACAATTGATAACATATGCAATGAATAAAATTAAATTATCCATTGTGATTTCTATTCCTGCCATTGTTCTTTGACTGGGCCCAGGACTCGGACAAGAAGACACTTCTTGACTTTTCTGAACTGTTATTTCTTCTTCAATACTTTTCGCTGCTTCTGCATAAGTAATGCTTTTTAACTGTTTTCAACGGTTCTGCTGCCTTTTCCCTTACTTCACAGCCTCCATATGCTAATCCATCCATCCAGAATATGGAATACTGCCGAGAAGTTAGAAAGAGGCTATAGTGGTTCCAATACCGAAATCGGGTAAAGATGTCTCAAAACCAGAAAACTATAGACCTATTGCTTTAACATCAAGTTTGAGTAAAATTATGGAGAAAATAATAAATGAAAGATTAATTTATTTTGTTGA